TTCCCAGGTTTACAAAGCTACTACCCAGATTCTGTTTTTTTCTGTTCTAACAGGTGGATGTTTAGGCCTCACTTGATGTGAGTTTCAGACAAGATCATTCAAACTGTTTTTTTAGCTGCAGGAAGTTCCTGGTTAATGTTGTTTACTTGGGTCTGTTTGCATTTGTTTTCTGTGTGTTATACAAGAAAAAAGTAGGATAATTGTACTCACTGTAAAAACCTCTACTTGGAGTGCATTGAGAGACACGGGTCCCATCCCTCTGTGTTTATGATCATGCTCATGTACTCCTTTGAAAACTGAGGCATTCTGGTTGTTGGTGGGGTTATCCCATGCTGGCTAAGTTTTTTGTTGCTCTTCTAGACAGCCATATAATCCTGAGGACTTAAAGTGGTAATAAACCCAAACACCATTTTTTGCAGTTACTAATCCTTAGATTTGCTGGCTGCATTAGTTTACTTTTTAGGCTTTTTTGCTGTATTTTCACCTGTTGATTCAGCCATTATGTAGTTTTTTTTTCAACTTCCTTTAACAGACCAAGCTGTCCAGCAAAAGCGCCAGTTAGAGGGCTGAGACAAAGCATTGAATACTGATGAGGGTGCAATGGTCAGCTTATAAATTTTGTTTGATATGGATGTCCTTATTGAGGATATTTTTCTCCTTTACTGTGACAGAAAGACAAGAATGAACATTGAAACCTCTTAAAAGTGTGGATATCCTACCTGTGAAAGCTGTCAGTGCACATGATGCAACTGCACTTAGCAAAGTGCACACTCTATTTGCCTTTAGTAAATCAATACCCATGGGTCTATTAGACCCCTAATGTCTCCTTTGCCCTCAACTGCAAATAATCAAGCACAAATGGTGTTTTATTAGCTGCTTCCCTGACCATTGTAGTCGGGGAATGAAAGAGCTGAAACTGGAAGTGCCAGAATACAAATAGTTTCCAGGTTTGTTTATTACAGAGGAGATAGGGGAATGGCTGTTCCTAAGTTTCTTTCTCTCAGCATCTTACGGTTACAGTGTCCTGGGCTCCCGAGAGGAATGAGAAAGTCCAGGAACCTCTGCCAGTGGCACAGGGTGGTAGGGGGTCTTGCATTGTATTGGTGGACATCAAGGGACTCTACTTTTTGCTCCACCTCCCATTTCCCCAGACTAAACAAGCATTTATCCCTTACTCTCTGGTAGAGTGGGAGTTGCACGACACTTACTTTTAAAAGTTTAGCTTTAAGCACATATTTTAAAAGTTATATTCGCCAGCATCTGTTAAAAAAAAATAGCTCCTGCCTTAATATTTGCCTCGTCTCCAGCAGTCTACCATCCACCACAGGACTTCTAGGTTAAATGACTACTGATGCCATTAAATCCAGTTCATGTAAACCCAGGGCTTCATGTCATTAGACCACCATGGGTTCACAAGATAATGCTGCAGAGAGCAGTGCCAGGTCATTATATATTGCTGTTCTTTACAGCATTCAGGAATTTGCAAAAAATAGAGACAGTGGAGATGAGCTTTAAGGAAAACATTTCTTTAGAGAAATATGGGGGCTACCATTGCTGACCAACTTCTGAATATTCTTGCCAACCCTCCGACTTCAGTATGATTTTAATTACTGATCTGGAATGACTATGCATATTCAGAAACTTGGAGTAAAGTCAAATATCAAATGTTCTTATCTGCATACTTTTTATTGTTGTTCTTGATCAAATATATTGAAAGGAGGTCAGTATACCAGTTACGCAGAATGAGAAGTAATCAATGGCAGTCTGTATGGTTCTCTCAGTAAAGTCCCCATTGAGTCATTAAGAATGCCAAGGTGACATAGCAGGTCACTGCCAGCATTTTGAGCAAATCCTGTGGGAGGACCTCTGTGCAGTTCCCAGTGAAGTAGCATGTTACACAATTTGAAATTCCTCTCAACTTCTCGTCTCTCTTCTGTAAAGAAGCAGGGTAAATATTTGACTACAACACATCAGTCCTACGGGACAGGAATTTTATGGCCTTTCACTAGGGCATATTTTTCGTCATCATAAGTAGGCAGGCCTAGCGTTCGCAGATCAGGAAGCCCATGCCTTTAAAAGAGAGCAGGGCAAAATATTCTATCACGCAGGGCTTTTTCTCCTTGCTCCCACAGGCAAGTGGAATGCAGTAGAAGTGAAGGGAAGGCAAGTGGAAGTAGCCATGGAGGATGGCAATGACGTGTAAAACAAATACTGTATGTAATCTATTGCAGCTTGAATGTAATGACTGCCTTAATTTTCCAGTAACACAGTTCCTGTTATGTGATGTCTCCACTCCATAGGAGTTGCAACAGAGACACCTTTAGACAGCAGAATTGTCAGTCTGGGGAGAGGGTAGTGTTAGACTAGCAGATTTAGATGGTGTTGACTAACAGATTAAAGCTGAACTCCAGCTAACCATTTTTAAGGAGCTATAGCAATAATTTTTTTTTCTTTTGGTATAAAGGTTTTACATAAATTAAAAAAGTTGATCATTGCAATTACACTTCTCAATGGTAAGTGGTTTATCTCAACCTCTAACTGCAACTTTGGCTGGATTGCGTGGTCCTTAAAAATGGAACCACACTGCATCTAAGCAGCACAAACCAAAAACACTATTTTTTGTTTTCAAAACAAAACTCCTCCATCCATCCATGTCTCCATGCTTTATTTTGCTGAGAGATCACTTTGAAAAACACCCCTCTATCATTTCTGGCTATCTTATGTAAGGGCGGATGAATTTACTTCCTGGAATATGCAATCCAGCTGCCTTAGCTGAGAAAGCTTGCTTTCATACCATCCATTGTATACAATTGTGTTGTTAGCTGTGATTGGTCACCACAGTCACATGGTACATACAGGACCAATCACAGCCCATCTGTATCATGTGATGAGCTTGATCAAAAGACTGAATTAATCAGTTTCATTCAGTAACAATGGTTGCTAATATCAATGAAATACATTGGTAATAGCAATCATAATGTGTAAAGAGAAAAAATCCTGATCACTTGTCCAGAGTAGTACAATGTTACTATGGTAACATTGTGTTGCTCTGGTCACAGCATGTTGAAAAAAAATTATTAAAAAAAGAAAAAAAAATTGCAATAAAAAAGAAAAAAAATAAATTAAATTACTATTGTTTTTTTTACATACTGTTACCAGTCAGTGTCCCTGATCACCACCACACCAGTTATGATAACGCTGTACTGGACTGGTGACAATATTTTAAAAAAAAAAAATTGTAACAGAAAATTACAACTGCAAAAAACTTGTCATGCCTCTTACTAAATACCTTGAACTGTCTATTTTCCAAAAATGGGTCATTTGGGGGTTATTTGTACTATCCTGGCATTTTCGGGTCTCAAGAAATGAGATTGGCCGTCAGTATATCAGGATTGATGGATTATCAGATATATATACTATGGTTTGTGGACTCTATAACTTTCCTACAGACTAAATAATATACACTGATTTAGGGTATTTTCACCAAAGAAATGTAGCAGAATCCATTTTGACCTAAATTTATGAAGAAAGGATATTTATTTGCAAAATTGTATATCAGAAACAGAGAAAAAAACGCTTTTTTTAAAAAAATGTTCAGCAATAAATAACAAACTCAGTGGTGATTAACTGCTTCCGTGCTGCTCTATAGCAGAAATACTTGATGATTTCTTGCCGGAACCCAGTGATCACCGAGTATCTCCGATGGGGGAGAGACCTGTGCATAAACCACACAGATGTCTCCCATGTCAGCTCCTGCTTTGTATGGCTCTGCATAGCAGTGTGCTTAAAGTGAAACACAGCACACAGCCTCATAGTAAAACAGCACATAGCACATATAGTTAACACTTTGATCGCCCCAGATGTTAACCTCTTCCTGCCTAGTGCCATTAGTACAGTGTCAGTCCTTTTTATTAGCATTGATCGCTGTATTGGTGTTACTGAGGATGTCAGTGACAACAAGTCAGTTCCCCCAAGTGTCAGAATGCCTGCTGCAGTCCCACTATAAGTCGCTGGTCGTCGCCATTACTAGTAAAAAAAAAAAAAAATCCAGTATATATACCGCCATTTGTAAACGCTATAACCAATTAATTTACACGTATTGGGATTTTTTTTAGCACAGACATGTCTCAGAATACATGTTGGCCTAAATTTATGACGAAATTTGATTTTTAAATTTTTGTTACTGGACATGTTTAATAGCAAAAAGTCCAAAATGTTTTTTTTTTTTCAAAATTGTTGGTCTTTATTTGTTTATAGTGCAAAAAATAAAAAAACCTACAGGCGATCAAATACCACTGAAAGAAAGCTGTATTTGTGGAAAAGAAAGGACATAAATTTAATTTGGGTACAGCGTTGCATGACCGCACAATTATCATTTAAAGTAACGTAGGGCCGTATCGCAAAAAATGGCCTGGTCAGGAAGGGGGGTACATCCTCAGGAGGGCAAGTGGTTCAATACCACCAAACCAAAGCTCTATTTGTGTGAAAAAAAATTTAAAATTTTTTCATGGGTACAGTGGTGCATGACTGTGCAATTGTCATTCATAGTGAAACAACACTGAAAGCTGAAAGTGGCTTGGGCAGGAAGGGGGTAAAAGAGCCTGGTATTGAAGTGGTTAAAACAAGTAAATATGATATACTTTCCTATCTATTTACTAATGATAGTAGCATAAGGATTACAATTTGTCAATGTTGATTGAGATAGTGAAGTTCCACATTAAAGAAAGTTGAAAAACAACTTACTGGATAAAAAATTGTTTTGGCTTGGGGTTTTTTTTGCCTTCCACAGGCAAAACACTAAAGGCCCAGTTTAATGGTACAAAGAAACAAAATACTAAGACAACCTCAGTACTAGAATCCTTTAGGTAAGCAAATAGCCCACAAGTGATTCAGTGCATCAGTGTTAATTCAAAACTGAAGTTTTAGTTTGTAGTGAAGCTAAACGTTAATCTGAAATTAACCCCAGCTACAATAACTGTGACATGTTATCTTTTCCCCAGGATTTATACCTTCTGGTCCTTGCAATGGTGGGTATTTCTGCCCTGAAGAGGAACGTTTTGAGCGGTGCATGTGCTACCGAGATTGTGGATATGATGGTGAACCTGTCTGTGGATCTGATGGTGTAATTTATCAAAACCAGTGTCAGATGGAAGTTGCAGGCTGCAGAAATAACACCAGAATAGAGCAAGTGGCAATGTCACAGTGTGTACCAGGTATTTGCATTTAATAAACAATCATTTGAAAATGTATATATTTTGCATATTTCATAAAAGTTTCTGTCCTGAATTTTTAAATTTAGCTTTGTTTTCATTTCCTTTTAAGTCTTGCTTTACCCTAGATCAGGGGTCTCCAAACTTTCTAAACAAAGGGCCAGTTTACTGGCTTTCAGACTTTAGGGGCCAGACTATGGACATTGGGAGTAGAAATTGGGAGTAGAAATTGTCCTGCGTCATTGGCAGGAAACAAAGCATTTTTGGCTTTAGGGGAGGAATAGCGCCCTATTCTTGGTGTAAGTTGGAGAAATAGTGCCCCATCGTTGGTGTCAGTGGGAAGAATAGTGCTGTGTTGTTGGTGTTAGTAGGAGAAATAGTGCCCATGGTTTGTTTCAGTGAGAGGAATAGTGACCGTTGTGGATGTCAGTAGCAGGAATCATGCCCCCTTGTTGGTATCAGTGGGAGGAATAGTGTCTTGTATCAGTGAGAGAAAAAGTGCCCCAAGGGCCAGATAAAGGCAAGCAAAGGGCCGCATCTGGCCCCCGGGCCATAGTTTGGAGACCACTGCCCTAGATCCTTGGTAATTTATTTATATATTCCAGCTATCTTTATTTTAGCTGATACTCCCATTAGCTATTTCACACATAATTTACAGATACTCATTATACTGTGGAGTGGAGTGCTGCTCCAGACTTTTATATTTAGTACACTGAACAATATCGAATTCTTCAAAATGTTCCATCAACCTACACAGATTCCTAGCTAACTATTCAGTATTTAGAAACTGTTTTATAGCTATCTTGTTGTATATCTACACCTGCAAAAAATTTGTGTTACCTCCTGTTCTTGGGTGTAAAATAGCTTCCATTGCTTATCAGTTTGCATTATATGCACAAATGGAATCCAAAATGTGAAACATCTAAGCAATACATTGTATACATTAGTGTGATATTGTTAGAAGGCGAATTGTATATGTCGCTACTTCAGTAGGCATCTGAGCTTTGTCTTCTCCATTGTAGTGAACATCATACCCAGTTTATACATAATCCCAGTTTCTTAGATGGCACAGATAGTTGACTGATTTATTTTACTTGCTGTCTGGAACTGCTTCTTAAGAGTGAATTTTTTTTCTATTACTAGGCATCCTTGTAGCATGAAACACCTTGAGAAACAGTCTGCTTTTCACAGTTATTGACCTGATTGTTTTCCTAGATTCTTTTAAGGCCCATTTTACACGGTCAATTTGTTGCGATTGCCAAATTCCTGTGGCAAGAATCTGTGGATTCTTGCTGCTGGAATTACCGGGTCATGTGATCTGCAGCGACCGCCCATTTAAACTATTGGTGGGCTGAAAATGGCAGCTGCTGATCGCATGCAGCCACACACAGAGAGATTAGCTGCGGTTTGGGACAGAGAACAAAGTCTGGATGCCATCGACCGCATCCAGGCTTGGGCATATGTTCCAAACTTAAGCTAATCGCTGTGTGTGTGTGGCTGACTGCAATCAGCACTCAAAATATTTAAACTAAAAAGACCTTTCATCTCCAATCCCGCTGGACCTGCTCAGAAGCCTTCTTCACAACAATGGTTCTCCTCCAGCCTTGGAAGTACAGGGACATCTACTGACATTTGCTCCAGCTTAGAGCAGAGATGTCCTGGCCCCTTACATGTCTTCCAGAGAGGTACACAAAAAATTTGCTGTCCTTTTTCTGTTTTCTACTACCCATTCCTACTTGCTGCTCCATAACATTCATACAGTTTCCTACACCTCCTTGTAACTTTACAGTCATATCCTTTCCCTTGAGGAAAAATTTTAAAGAATTTAGAATTCCTGCACAGAGGCCCTTACCTGCTTAAGGACAGATTGAATTGGAGGGTAGTCGGGTGTAAACAGACAGCGGAGTCCGTTTACTCCCAACTGTCCATAAAGTAGAGCATACTCTGTCCGTGTCCACTTTGCAGAAACTGAATGGACACAGATGTGTCATCAACCTACTCTGCTCCGATCAGCAGGGGATCTGTAAGTGGATCCCCTGCTAATCAAAACGGAATCCATCCCATGTGAAAGGGGCCTTATACTCTGCAATCAATCATGTGAGCTAGTTCTCACCCAATGCGATGATGGGGCACTCTATCTTAAAATGTAGTTCATTCCTCATTCTGCAACCTCTTCTGTTTGGATTTGACAAACACCTAACCATTAGTACTTCCATTTCCATTCCTCATTCTGCAACCTCTTCTGTTTGGATTTGACAAACACCTAACCATTAGTACCCCATAGGTTTTGGTTCGGCCTTGTTTGTCCTCTTCAGCAGGAAGTTGCTCTACTTCCATTTTGACTTTCCCACTGGGACCTTCTTTAAATGTTGTTTTCCACACAGAGCACTCTCTTTGGGGGTTAATCCTACTTCCCTAAAACGTCCATTCCCTGTGTTGCCTTGGCTCCCCTTTTTTATGTACTTTTTGAGAGTCCCCATTTTTCTTCTGCTACAAGGGGACAAAGTATCCTTGAAGCCAGTCCTTGTTGCTTCCCTGGTGCTCTTTCTGTCACTTTTGTGGAATTTCAATCTGCTGCCTTAGAAACATGTTAAACAAGTTTTGCTTCCCCTTAAGGGTGTGGTCAGTACTGTCATCTATGGCTACTTGCCACATCTTCCCTTAGGAAATGACCCCTCTCCTGTTTTCACACTGAATTCTCCCTCTATTAGATTCCTCCCTCCTCTTCCACCCAACTGGGTGACTATTTTCCTTTTTTTTCTAGGGCTTCTGCAAACAAGGAAAGAGTTCCACCTTCCCTACCTGAGCCCTTCCTCCCAGAGCTGTTAGGTTCTTGGGCTCTTTCAGGTATTAATCACCAGACACCACTTGATCCTCCATTCACATTTTCAAAACCGATTTTTGACAGATAGCTGTTTGGACCTCTGCTGATGCGTGCCTCCACCGCAAGGTGCTTGTGATGTCAGCAGTCTGTTCAGGTTGACCCTTCTTGTTTTTTCTTGTGGATCTGTTGCTGCTGTTTTAGCTGTGTTTTTGCCTACCCCTCGGCTTATTGTTTGGGGTCTTCCCATGATCTAAGAATCAAATCCTGTGTCTTGTACAGTATGATTAAGTTAATAGCAATTGTGAAGTACCTGTAAATACTTTATCTTGGAGTACAATACAGGAGACAGGTCCCTCCCTACTATTCTCTGTGAACTCCTTACTCCTATATATACGGCAGGCAGACCCAGCAAAGCTTTTGCCAGTGTGCAGTCACCTGAAGGTCCAGTATCCATGGTATAAGAATCAATTCCTGTGTCCTGTACTGTACTCAAACATATTTAATTTACAGGTTCGCCAAAATTCCTATTTTTTTTTGTTGTAACAGCAAGTGGGGAGTATTCCCTCCAATAGCTACACAGATGAAAAAAAAAAACTGGCAGAGGTCCTAATCCTTCATTTCCATACTGAAGTTGGACTTTAAAGCATACTCTAGTTCTTAAGTGGTGACACTTTTTTAAAATCTATTTGAACATAAATTCAAAATAAAAGGAATCCATGCCTGTTTGTAATGTGTGGGGTGGGCAAATTGCTATATATCCTTACTTGGGAATGTTTTGTTATGGACTGTGGCTTGTATCCTGTGTTAACATTGAAGTTCACAGATCATTACAGGATAAGGAACTGGATCATGTGAATTTCTCATGTTCCTTCAAACCAGTACCAGGTGGCTATGGCTGATCAGTTGCCTTCAAAGTCATTTCTAATTCAAATTTGAATTTCTGATGAAGAGGTTAAATAGTGTGGAAAACAGAAGAAAAAAAAAACTATTGGATTACTTTTATAGCCTTTTCATCAATAAAGGGGTGAGGCGGGGTTTAGAGATTTGATATTGTTGAATTAATGTTGGCCTTTTTCTTATAATTCTTTATTTCTTTCTTTACAAGTAGTTTTCTTTGGGTTTTGAAAAGTAATTAGTTTATTGCAATGGATAATGCTCATTGTCCAATGAGATCACAATTAGGTGTATCATGAAAATATAATACAGCATTAGTTTGTTTTATTTTACAGTGTAAATGGGTGGATGAACAGCAAAACCAGGTACATCATTCCACTGTATCAAAAGGATGGGTGCCTGAAAGAGTTGGGAATTGAAGTAACATGTTTTTCTGATTGAGATAATAAGCCCCGTTCACACAATGAGAATATCGGACAAACAATTGTCCGTTTTTTTCGAAAATGAAGGAGTTACTCAAGTTATGAAAATTCTTGTGTGACAGAATAAAAATTCAGAAGTGATGTAATGTATTGTATTTATATTATATTCTTGGCTGAAAGCTGTACTGATTGGATGAAAACCGTACGATCTGGTAACGTACAAGAAAAAGTTTCGTGCTTGTGCCTTTGAATAATTTCGGACGAAAGTGGAGTAAAATCCCATCACATAAGGACTTTGAATTCCCCACTACTAGGTTATAGTGAGCCATATATCAGACCAATCTAATATTGTTTTTTTTTTTAAATCATATTTTCCATATGGAGGTATGGGAGGAGGGTGGGGTTTATTTTATTTGTCATAATAGATGAGCATATTTTCAGAGGTTTTCTTTTTTGTGGGGGATCTGCAGGCTTTAAATTACTGGCATTAGTTAGTTAATTATGTAGAGTATTGTAAGTAAGGGTTAGCTTTATTCCTACATTGGTAAGGATGTTTACCTAGAAGAAAGTGGAGTTCCTTAGTTTCAAAGTTTTCTTAAGTCTTCAGCATCATAGAATGGCCTGTGGATTAGATCATGATAATGTGTCAATAGCCTTGTGTATATTGAGGTAAATAGCATAATCTCTTGGTATTCTTTTTTAACTTGAAGTGTTACTAAACCCAGGAACCTGCATTCACTATATCAGGTCTCCCACAGTACACAGAACATGGAAATGCAATTATTTTAGTAAATATAAACTGCTAAATACCTTTTCTCACAAGCACTTTATAACAGTCTTGTAATTTTTATCAGTGTCCAGCAGAGCACTGGTTAAAGCACATAGGAAGAATTTGCACTCTCCCCTGATTGTCCTATGAGGCTGCAGAACCCCTGACTCTCTGTCTGGACAGCACTGATTGGCTCTGTGCTGAGCACATGCACTCTCCTAAGAGACAAAAAAAAACTCTGTAGCAATACACACCAAACTGAGCATGTGCAGCATGCCCCCAAGGCTCTGTTTTATCAGCAGATGGGTTGGGGACAGTAGAGAAGGGGAGGATCAGAGAAGACAGGATCAAACAGCCTTTTTACACACTGTGTAGGATTAACCCCTTAGGTTCCACAATGAATATAACAAGCGTGCTTTACTGCATATACAAATTGATTTTACTGTTGTGGGTTTAGTAACGCTTTAACCTTGGGGAAAGTCTAGTGCACATATTCTTTGAACTGATCTTCATTTTTTACTGAAATGTGCACATAAGAAAAAGTACTTTGTATTTTAGACATTAAATCCAATTGTATTTGTGTTTGTTCTTTAAAAGTCTGCATTTTCCTGTTCTATAATGCCATACTTTATATTTGTTAACAGAAGAAAATACTTCAGAAGAGGAAACTGACAGTGTTACATTACCAGAGCCATTTCAAGAGAAAACTGGTATATTACATTCCTATTTTCAGCTTTCTTTATTAACAGACCACATGTGTTATATAACACCACATGTGTTAAATAGAATATACAGTCTCATTGTTCCCAGTAAGAAAGATTAGTTATATTGGCATAATCCTTTCTTATCATGGTTAAATAGATATAGCCTATCTTTTATAATGACCAAGAGCCCTCTGGGTTAATAGAAGTGGGTAACACCTAGGGGCATTGCAAGATGTAGTAGTGGCACATGTAAGGATTCTAAGGAAACGTATAAGATAAAACTAGAAAAAATGTGGTTTAAAGCTGATGCCACAGTCATTATTAAAAAGTAATTTTGAGACAGCGAAAGGCTATCACTGAGATTAAGGATCTTGGAGTGTCTGGTGTTCTACAGAGCCTCTTCTAGTAAGGATGGACTTCAGGGCACTACCAGTATTGAACCTTCTAGAGTTAAAGTGACATTAAAATACAGAACTAAAGCAGAAGAAACAAAAACAAAACACAGAGGGTTAAGTTAGGTTAGACTGATATGGCTTAAAACTAAAAGATGAGAGGCAAGGTGAGGGTTAACAAAGTCTTCAAGAAGCAGAAAAAGATAATGAAATCCATTAACAATTCCACAGAGAATGCAGTGCCACGCAGGGAAGCAGCTAGACAGGAGACATGGATATCAGGGTGTTGTTGGGGACAAAATCACAGATGGAAGCCTTAAGCCATTGCTCTAAAGCCAAATCTTTTGTTATAAATTTTGAATTGAAGAGGGTAAGGGTTAGCAACTCTGTCAGATTTTTAATGCTTATACTATAGAAATGCAGAAAGGAGTGCCAGACCAAAACCGAATGAAAGAGTCCAAGATAGTTTTAATTGTTGGTAAATACATTATGATGCTAGGTTCACACTAGTCCGCAGGCTGCGGGCTGGTTGCGGGTGCAGGAATCACACCTGTTCCCGCACCTGCAGCCACTCGCATCCAAATAGCGCTGCTCTTGCGATTCTGAATGGCACCCTCACGCATCTCAGTCCGCAGCGCAGTCGTGGGTGCGGCGGGGTAGCCGCATGGTCAAAAAGACCATGCAGTTTGCCTGCAGCCACATTTTAAAAAAAATGCATGCACCTATTTTTTGCGGGACACGCAGCACAGCAGCCCATTCAAACGAGTAAGCTGCCAAGCCCCAGTAAATGCGAGCCGCACAGCCCGCGCTAGTGTGAACCAGGAGTAAAAGCTGCCAAGCATTTCGTATCAAACACCACTCCACCCTCATTGGCTGTTTTTAGATTAATTATTTGCCAACAATTAAAATTATCATGGACTCTTTCATTCTTTTTTGGTTTTGTGCTCCTTTCTGTGTTTCAGCTGTTTGAGCTACTGTCCTGTGCCCATTGAGGAAAGCCTTGCTGTGTGGGAGCACCTCACCAAAACTATAAGGCTTGTTTGAAGTTTTCCTTCATCTGACTAAACATGCAAATTAAAAATTCCCAGCATCTCTGTGAGTATGTTTGTCTTGGGGGTATTATTGCTGTCTGTGTCCCCAATGAGTAGATTCGCCTATACTAATCCATACTATTGAGTTGTCATTGAAATAGAAATAAAGGGGAAATCTTCCAGTGGGGACACTTGATGACGTGACAGCTGCATCAGAGAAAATTTTCCTAACTTTGGAGAAATTTTCTTTCACTTCTTGTTGTGTCTACAGAACAGGATATAAAGGAAAATCCCCCAATGTGAAACAGCTGGTTAAAAAGTGTGATGAGTTGTTGTTCCACCTACTCTATCCAAAACTGATAAAAAGGTTTGCTTTAAGATCTACTTTAAAGCTGAACAGTACCCATCTAGAACTTTCCACAAAACCACCTCTACCACCATTTTTTTCTGAAACGGTCAACCCATGTTAATTTGTTGACTTTTTACTGGTTTTAATTTCTGTTTAAGACCTGGCTCCCATCACACTTTCTGCCTGCAGAGTGGTAATACAGGCACTAGTCTAGAAGAGGGATTCAGAAAAACATGTGTTTGCCCATTAGTAACACCAATTACATAATTTGTAAATGTGATTTTGTGGAAGAGAAATTGAGCCATTATATTAAGGTCTGGATCTCCTGATTGGATTTACAATGTATTTTATACGGAGATGACAACAGGAGCCTCTGAGACATTAAAGAGGTGGAGGTGGGGTGTAGTTCTTCCCCAAACTCATAGATGGTTGAGAACTATGGCAGGGAGATCATACTGTTCAAGTATTGAAGTATCCAAGACCTATAAGAAACCAAGTGCTGATTCAGTCCACATAAAATATTACTTTTTTGGTGGACTTGTTTTTTGAGAGATATAGGTTAATTTTACTTTGTAATGTTTGTTAAAAGTTGCAATGCAACCATATATAATAATAGTAATTTCTCCCTAATATTCTTTTCCAGCAGAAGAAGAGGTACCCATTCACCAGTCAGAGGATTCCTATTACTCCTATGAGTATGAAGCAGATCCTTATGGCTCTGAGAATGAAGATGGTCTTGAAATTGCAGTGCATCTCACAACAGTGGCAAATGTAGCCGAGGACACAGCTGATACGTTCTCGACCACAGAATGGTAATTTATAGGACCACTTTTTGCTTTAACTGCATTTTCTTGGTACAATCACTTTGATTAATTCAAATTTCCTTCTTCATCGTCCATTGAGGGATATAAGAACAGAAAAAAAAATGGGGTTATACTACCGCCTAAAGGAGCTTGGGACACTGGCAAACAGAAAAATTGTAAGCCAGCACCCATATAACTCCTGTACCCTTGATCCGTGTACCCAGTCAGAATACACTGATAAGCAGCTGCAGCCACTGATCACAAAAATGTTTACAGCATATTTTTTCTTCATTTTGTTTTTCTCAGTGCTAGCATCACTAATGCCTGGCCTCACCTGAGAGTGTTGGTGAACTTGGGGGAATTTGTAAATCTGTGCTCTGTTCCCTCTGTGGATGCACCAGTGATCCACCTTAAAGTCCACAGTTAAAGTCCCTCCTTAGATCCCAGTTTGAATTGAATGGTGTTGCCCTCCTCTGTTTTATCTGTCAAAACATCAGAATGAATACATTTCTGCAAAAGAGATTTCTTCAGTACTGGTGCATGTTTCATAGAGCAGCAAGAGCTGGGGCCTTGTGTTTTAGACTAAGTCATACCAGGATCTTTTTCGATCAGCTGGTGGGCTAATCAAAAAAAAAAAAAGTGAATAGATTCCCCCATCCAAACAAGCAAGCTGGGACTCCTCCACTGTCATAATACACTAATCAGTGCTGCACCTGATTGGCTGCAGGTGCTAGTTGAATGAAAGTTTTCCAACAGTCCCTTTCGAGAGAAGTCGATCATTAGATTTCACTCTGTTGAGCAGGAACAGCCATAGATAGATCAAAATTCTGCAAGTCCCTGCTTAACTGGCTGAATTTCGATCCATCTATGGCCAGCTTTAGTTTTGATAGTTTGTTACAAGCATCTAAACTTGGGACTCCTATGGGGGTGATATCCATACAGATTCATGGGTCACTATGGTTGCATGGTTGGGATGCTGATGCTGTATCCAAGGAGCATCTGACCCTGATTAGCCTTTGAGGGGTGTCATCTCTTCAGCTCTTCTCTTGACACTGTTAGAAGCTATGACACAGGTGGTGGGTGGAGGGTCGGAGGAATCCCACCCTTCTCTTTTATCTACTTTGGCAGCAAGTACTCATAAGCTCTCAGAGCCTATCTCCTGCTCAGCCCATAGTAATCAAAGCCAGAGGTAAAGTAAGGGGCTGTTTGTACATCCCACAGGTTCTTGGGTAGTTGCCTTCCTGGCATTTGGGTGTTCAGATCACCCCTTTTAGCCCCCAAGGTAACCCCTTATTTCTGGCATCTCTTTCAGCTGTCCCTCAACATTTTTCTTTTTTACAAAGGGTTTTATTATAGAATAAGCAGAGGTAAACACACATTCGAGAAAGTTATACATTGACCAACAAATATGAGACATACAGGGCATTGCTGAAAAAATTTCAAAGCATATACTGGTAGAAACATAAGCATAAGCTCAGTATTTAAGTGTCATGGAAGAGAAGACAAGGAAGGGAAAAGAAAAGAAAAAAAAAAAAAGAGGGGGTGGGGAAAGGGGGGAAACGAAGAGCAAACATTTGAAGGTCAATGAAAATGCAAACTCCAATAGAAAGTTTTGCTATATCAGCATATTGAAAACAGGAGAGGCCTGAGGAAAAGCCTCTCCAGATTTTAACATATATATTCCAGACAGTGGGCTCACAAAGGAGTCTGGGTTGCATAAGTAGTATTGCAGATGTAGCACTTAGAGCAATGATCACAATCAGTACAATTGGCATAAGAACAGCTTGGACAGAAGAATAGAGAGGGACAATCGATGAAAAGACAAGGACAAAGATAAAGCATAAAAACAAAGACAATCACAAAAGGGCTCCAGGGCGACCGCAACAGAATCGATCCTCAAATTGACAGAAGGGACTGGTCAAATCTCGATGGGTGGGCTGCCGCCATCCAGGGACGCCATATCTGCAGGAATTTGGTATGGGTATCCAGCAGTATAGCTGTCAATTTTTCATTAACCATTATGAAGTTCATCTGGTTTTCGACAGCCTCGAAACTGAGAGGAGAGGAGTCTTCCAAGCCCTCGCGATAGTCAGTTTAGTAGCCATAAATAAATGTGATGCCAGCTGCCATTCAGGGCAAAGAAGGCCCTCCAGTTGTTTAAATAGGAGCGCTTCGTACGGGTCGCGCTTAATGTCCGCGTGGAGCATAGTGCGGAGAAGGGCATAAACCCTAATCCATAATCTGCTAACCTTAGGGCAAGTCCAGCAGATGTGAACCATAGTACCCACTTGTTGGCACCCCCGGAAACAGGCTGGAGAATATGTGGGGATAAAATTAGCTAGATGAGCAGGCGTATAATACCATCGATAAAGGATTTTGTAGGCGTTTTCGAGAATGATGACATTCCTCGAACATTTAGATAATGCTTGGGTCATGATCCGCCAATCCTGTTGATCCAAAGTCCCCCCAAGTTCCGACTGCCAACGTTGATGATAGGAACGGACTGGAGGGGTTCTATAAGAGATAATGGCAGAGTAGACCAAAGAGATCAAACCCGGAGCATGGGGTCTATGCCTGCACTGGCTTTCAAAGGGGGACAGTTGGTAAGGTCCCGAGTGCGTCCATATTAGTGTATTAACAAAATGACGGAGTTGAAGGTAACCGAAATGTTCCCGCAAAGGAATGTTATAGGAGGAGTTTCAAAGGTAAGTATTCGGGTGGGAGATAGCAGTGAATGCACATCATAAAAACCATGTGTTTGCCCCAGGCAAATTGCCTAGGATTGTCCTGGCCTGGAGGGAATGACGGGTTATGTAACAGACATAACAACGGTAGATGGGCAGAGATAAGGCCAGCAGAATATTTAATAGAATCTCAAAGACGAAGCGAAAGCTTCAGCGTCGGACTAAGAGTTGATGGACGATGAGAAAAAGGAAGCCACGGTAAGAAAGAGAGTGGTATCGGATGGGAGTCTAGCAAATCTTCAGTAGCCCACAAGGGGAAATGGTGAGATGCATGAATATGGGCTACGGGGGCAATATTAGTTGCCAGATAATAAGACTGGAGATTTGGGACAGATAACCCACCGTCACTCCTACGCGCAAGTAAGATATGCTTACTAATTCTGGATCGAGAAGAACTCCAGATGAAGGACAAAAGTTGTCGCTGATGGATACGCAATATATGCAATATATGCGAAGGAACAGGGACAGGTAAAACGCAAAACAAATACAGTAATTTAGGGAGATAGGTCATACGGATCGCGTTAATTCTGCCGAACCATGAAAGGGGGTAATGAGACCAGGAGGACAACATCTCGGTCAGTTCTTGGAAAACAGTGGGGAAATTAGCCCGATATAGTTCGTCATATGTCGGAGTAAGCTTAATTCCTAGATATGGTAGTGCCGAGATCCATTGAAAGGGGAACGAATGTTTCAGAGTAGCCAAAAGTGATGGGGAAAGAGTAATTGACATAGCTTTTGATTTGGCAGGATTGACATGAAGACCCAAAAGATTTGCAAAGGAATCCAGAACCGCAAGTAAATTAGGCAGAGTGACCCCCCGGATTCGTGACTGACAACAGTATATCATCTGTGAACAGAGACAACTTATGTTGGGAACCAGCCACATCAATCCCCTTAATATCAGGATGCATACGAATGGCTTCTGCCAACGGTTCCAAGGCTAAGATAAAAAAGTATGGGGGAAAGCGGACAACCTTGTCTAGTACCCCTGGCAATCAAGAACGTGGAGGACTCGAATCCATAATATTTAAGTTTTGCTTGGGGGGATGTGTACAACGAAGAGATCCATCATAGAAACGAGGGGCCAAAGCCAAAGCGATTAAGGACCGATAAAAGATAAGGCCAAGGTGTCAAAAGCCTTGTTGATATCTAAAGATAGGAACATCATATCAATTTTGCGAGCATGGGCTAAATGTTGTAGTTGTAAAATACGTTTGATGGCATCTCCAGCTTGTCTATGAGGGACAAATTCCACCTCATCCCTTTTTATCAGTCGAGAAAGAAAAGAATTCAGTCGAGTGGCCAAAATTATGATAAGGATTTTCAGATCAATGTTAATAAGAGAAATAGGCCTATAGTTTGCCCACGAAGAAAGATCTCGATCTGGTTTAGGGATCATGACCACATTCGCGGCCATAGAGTCCAGAGAAAAGTTTGAACCTCTCTTCACCGCGTTAAACATGGCGGCGAGATGAGGGGCAAGCACGTCAGCCAACTTCTTGTAGTATAGCACCGTGTATCCATCTGGACCTGGACGTTTGCCTGACTTCAGATCTGCTATGCATTGCAAAACCTCTGATATTTGGATATCACGGTCCATCAAGTCCTTATGAGCCGAGGTCAAAGTAGGCAGGGACAAACCAGATAGAAAATCAGAAATTGACTGAGGATCAGCCCGAGTGGGTTCAGTATAAAGTTTGGCAAGTCGATACCGGAATTCCTCCAAAACCGCTACAGGATTACTTGTGAGAGTATTGTGACGATTGCGTAAAGAAATCGGTTTGGGGTGATGCGTAAAAGAACGTAATCTATGAGCCAACATGGAGTCTGGTTTGTTTGCTTTACTATACCACTTCTGGCGTGTCCAGCGCAAAGAACGCTCAGCCTCATCTGTCAAACAAAGATCCAGTTCTAAGCAAGCCTGATCTAACAGTCTACGATTCGAAGGGGTAGGTCACTGTTTAAATTGAGCTGATGCGGAAGCTAACTTTGATTCCAGCTGACACTGTTTAAGCTGCCTATCCTTCTTTCGACTAGAAGCTATCTGGATAATATGTCCCCTGACAACAGCCTTCTAAGCTTCCCATAACGTCACCGAAGAAGAGACCAAACCCGAGTTTAGCTGGAAATATTCCTGAGATTTGCGCTGTAGTTCTGCCTGAATCTCCTTCAGCGAAAGCAGGGAGTCATTCATTATCCATGAAAAATAGGCTGGCTTACAAAGAAGAGATCGACAGACCACCAAGATAGGATCATGGTCAGA